CAGAGTCTTCGAAGTATGTCCTGGTGGGGCTGGGTATAACCAGAGGCAGAGCATGTGCTTAGAATACTCCAGACCCTCTGTCCCATTCCCAGCACAAAGAAAGTAAGAAAGAGAGAGGGGGGAAGGAAAAGGAAAGAAGGAAGGAAGGAAGAAAGGAAGGAAAGAAGGAAAGAAAGAGAGAGAGAGAGAGAGAGAGAGAAAGAGAAAGGAAGGAAAGGAGGGAAAGGAAGAAAGCCAGCTAGCCAGATGTTGCTGGCTCATACCTGTAATCCTAGCTATTCAGAAAGCTGAGGTCTAGAAGATCTCAGTTTGAGGCCATTCAGGCAGAAAAGTTCACAAGACTCCAAACTAACCAGCAGAAAGCAAGGTTGGAGGCATGGCTCAAGTTGGTAGAGTACCAGATGAGCAAGGAAAGCAAGTACAGCCCCAAGGCCAAGACCAAATACTTGCAAAAAAGGAAAGAATGCCTTGTATCTGGGTTCAGAAGGTGGCTCAGTGGTACAGTGCTTGCCTTGCATGCATGAGACCCTGGGTTCGATTCCTCAGCACCACATTAGCAGAAAAAGCTGGAAGTGGTGCTGTGGCTCAAGTGGTAGAGCACTTGCCTTGAGCTGAAGAGCTCAGGGACAGTGCCAGGCCCAGAGTTCAGGCCCCACAACTGACAAAAAAAAAATCTTTAAAGAATGCCAGGTACCTGTTGCTTACACCTGTCATCTTAGCTGCTCCGGAGGCGGAGATTTGAGGATCATGGTTTAAAGCCAGCCTGGTCAGGAAAGTCCATGAGACTCTTATCTCCAACTAACCACCCAAAAGCTGGAAGTGGAGCTCAAGTGGTAGAGTGTCAGCCTTGAGTGAAAAAGTGTAGGGGCAGTGCCTAGGCCCTGAGTTTCAGCTCCAGAACTGATACGAAAAGGAAAGGAAAGGAAAGGAAAGGAAAATCCTAGCCTCAAGGTAGAAACAGGAGGATCACAGTTTTCAGGCTTGGTGTACTTGCACCAAGAGAGGGTCTGTGGGCCTCCTTTAAGCTCCCTGTCTTGAGAGGGAAAGCTATGCCTGCATCAGGATCTCTCCAAATGTCCTGGAAGCTTCCAGATTTCTACCTTTCCTTTGACTTTTCCACTGGACAGTTGTGGAGGGGGCGCGGAGGGGGGTGGTGGCGCTTACACGTGTGCATATGTGTGTGCATGTGTGTGTGCCAGTACTAGGGCTTGAACTTAAGGTTTCGGGTCTGTCCTGGGTGCTGTCCTTTGGCTTTTTCTGGTTAATGCTCTATCACTTGAGCCACAGCTCCATTTCTGGCTTTTTTGGTGGTTAACTGAAGATGAGTCTCACAGACCTCCCTATATGGGCTTCAAACTGCAATCCTCAGCTGGGTGCTGGTGGCTCACGCCTGTAATCCTAGCTACTCAGGAAGCTGAGATCTGAGGATCAGGGTTCAAAGCCAGGCCGGGCAGGAAAGTCCATGAGACTCTTATCTCCAATAAAACACCAGAAAACCAGTAGTGGTGCTGTGGCTCAAGTGGTAGAGCACTAGCCTTGAGCTGAAGAGCTGAGGGACAGTGCCCAAGCCCAGAGTTCAAACCCCAAGACTGATAAAAACAAACAAAAACCTGCGATCTGGGCTGGGAAGGTGGCTCAGTGGTAGAGCACTTGTCTTGCATGCATGAGGCCCTGGGTTCGATTCCTCAGCACCACATAAGAAAAAAGAAAAAAAAACCGGAAGTGGCGCTGTGGCTCAAGTGGTAGAGCGCTAGCCCTGAGCTGAAGAGCTGAGGGACAGCGCCCAGGCCCAGAGTTCAGGCCCCATGACCGGACCCAAAAAAAAAAAAAAAAAACTGCGATCCTCAGATCTTGAAGAGTTAGAAGTGGCTTTGTTTAGAAGCAGTAACCCTTCTGTTGCTCATATTAACCTTGGGCCCACCTGAATTTCAGAAACTGTCTTGTTTGTGCTGAAACTGCTAAACCATAGATTACTTGAACAAAGCTACTCTGAAGTCAGGCCCCACTTTGTACTATAGCTGGCCTTGGGTCCCCACAAACTTCAGGAGATGACCAAGCTGGCCCAAGATAAACAGACCACCAATTACTCCCTGCTAAGCTTTAACTGCTCTGGAATGTCCAGATGGCCCATTGAGACCCAGCCAGTTTGATAACTCCGTACTACCTCTTATCGCCTCGGAATGCCCTGCTGACGCCTCTAGTTGCTGTAAATTTGTCAGTCTGTGATTTTTTTTTCTCTCCTTCTCCTTTTGTAACTTTGTAGTTTTTGCCTTTATAAACCCTGTGACATTTCAGCTCGGGGCTCTCCTCCTAAGCTCCACTGAGTTGGTGTGTAGGACCAGGCCCGAGCTGCAGCCCGCCTGAATAAAGCCTTGCTTTTGCATTTTGGAAAGTCTGACTCTCGGTGGTCTTCTTGGTGGGGGTCCTACGACGGGGGTGGGGGGGTGTGGGGGGGGTGAGTGGGTGGTACAACAATCTCAGCTTTTTGAGTAGCTAGGATTACAGGCATGAGCCACCAAGAGCCATCTTGGTTTCACTTAAATCTTAGTTTTGATGAAATTTTGGTTTCACCTAAGGGTTACTCCAAGCCTCAGAGCTGATACAGAGTCCAGGGGTTCCCCTCCAGCCCAAGCTGGAAATAGGGTCATGAAGTCCAATCCTCATTCTGTCTCTGTGTGTCTTGAAGCAGACTCCTCTCCAAGAAGGAACCCTGAAGTCACGTCTACAGAATGCAATTCCACTCTGAGCCCAGGAGTGTCCCTCAGGCTTGGGAAAGAACCAAAAACCAGGCTCATGGTTCCTTTCTTTGTGTTCCCAGAACCAGAAACCAAGCTCACGGTTCCTTTGGTCATGTTCCCAATCAGTTTTTATTTCCTTACGTAATACTAGTAACCACCCTTGAAAACTTCTGTCACGTTTCAATGAGGAAACTGAGGTCTAAATCAGGTCAGTGACTCACCTGAGGTCTACATTAGAGTCCATACCCCAGTCTTCCTGGTTTCCTTTCTCCTCCTTCTGGCCACATCCCTTCCTTTTTGCCCTGGATCTAACCCAAGCCACAGGCCCATCCACCAAAACCCACTTGTGGAAACTGAGACCCAAATGGCCACACACTGGTCAGGACCATCTTCCAAGAACATAAACAGAGTGCTAGGACCTGATCCTAGCTATTTTGGAAATGCCTGACACCCCATCTCAGCCAATAATAAATAGGGTCCTCATGAGGAAGACCTTACTAAAAATAAATAAATAACTAAACCAAGCGCTGGTGTCTCATGCTTGTAATCCAAGCTACTCAGGAGGCTGATAGCTGAGGATCATAGCTTGAAGTCAGCCTGGGCAGGAAAGTATGTTGAGACTCTGATCTCCCATGAACTACCAAAATCTGGAAGTGGAGCTGTGGTTCAAGTGGTTGAGCAAAAACCAAAACTCAGGGACAGACAGCACCCAGGCCCTGAGTTCAAGCCCAGTACTGGCACACATGCACAAAAAAGAAAACAGTGAGTGTAAACTTGCTGGAGGGGAATAGGTTGAGGATGGGAGTGTGTCTGGTGGAATCAAATGCTTCCTGCTGAAGGGTACAGAAAGAAACAGGGCAAAGGATCTCAGGGAGCCTTAAGACGGGCAAGAGATCTGGAAGTTGTGATCAAACATGCTTCCCATAAGCAGCCTCACCTATTGGGAAGTAGAGGAAGAGCTGCCACCACTAGGAGGCGCTGCTAGGAAAACCATCTGATGCTGTGGCTGGACCCCTGCAGCCCAGATTCCTTCTCCTCGGATCCATAGCCCTATGCACAGCTCACAGGCTGCAGATGATACTTTCTTGGCACTTTGTCTCAGGTGGTGCTGGTGGTCAGTGCCCAAGCAGGACTGAGGAGGTGGGGTACAGGAAGGGGAAGCCCCCTTGGTTTCTGTCTCACAGCAGGGACCCAGCAGGGAAACCCCACAAGTCCCCAAAGGAAAGTGGCAGCTTGGGGAAGACTAAGAAACCCCCATGTTCTCCCTGAAGATGGGAATTCCAGGGTGTGGCAAGGCAGGGCCTCCTGGCAGGGAGTGCCACCGTGGTCTCGGTAGACCAGAAGTGTGAGGATTATTGTGGGTCCTGGCTGAGCCTTGATCCTGATTTTACACAACTGCAGAATGGCCACAGGCTGAGCCCAGATTTGGAGCATTGACTGAACTGTTATCCCAAGCCGAAGCCTGAGTCTGCACTAAGTCTTTCTAAGTCTTGTCTCAGCCAGATCTTTGGCTATGCCTGGCACAGACTTTTGCTCTAGTTTCAAAACCAGACAGAGCCAGAACATTGGCTCTAGATTCTGCATCCAGTCCCAACCCAAGTCTGGACTGTGGATATACTGAGCCCTAATCCTCTCTATGACGCTGGCTAAAGACTGAGCCCATTAGCCTTGGATGGAGCTGACGCTGACCTCAGACATGGCCTTGGACATGGTCTCATCCATCCCAGAATCTAGATATAGATAATCCATCTTCGTGCCAGCACTGAGGATGGCAGACTGAGCCCCTGATCGCCATACCCAAAGACACATCCAGCTACCATGGAGCTCTGACTTCCCGTACAACCTCAGTTGTCTGGTAAACCAAGAGAGTGAAGATGACTCAAAGCCCCAGTGGGCAATCCCCTTACCTGGCCATCCATCTTGCTCAGGACAGTGGATGGATGATGGTCTTGGTGACTGCTAGAAGACAGGACAGGGTTGGGTCTCAGAGTCCCACCAATGGATAGACCTGGACAGCTTGTCCAGGAGTGAGGGACCTGATTGAAGGAAGGCTAGACCTGAGAGCAAAGCTTGGATCGACTGAAACCCCAGCTTCCCGTCACCCCTAATCCCCCTCCCCCTGGGAAGGGAAATTACATTTCCCCATTTTAGCAAGGGTGGGGAAGAGGGAAGATTGAGTGAAGACAAAGCCGAAAGTACAAGCAGGATAGAAAGTGAAACCGGGTGCAGCCCCCAGTATAAGACCCCCCTACTCACGAGATGGCTGCACTCGCAGGCTGGGCCCTGACATGGGCCAGGAGGCAGGAGACCTTGGCTGGCGTGAGTCAGAGGCCGAGGCTGGGTGGAGGGGAGGGAGGCTTGCTGGAGACTGGGCTGAGGATGGGAGAGGGGGACAGGGTGGGATGGGGTTAAGGGGTGAGGGGTTGCATCTTGGCCACAAGACTCTGGGTCTGACTGGGGAATGGGAGGGGAGAGGGACAGCTTTACTGAAGTGGAAGGCTTTAGGTTGATTTGATTTGATTTGTGCTCATACTGGGGTTTAAACTCAGGGCATGGGTGTTGTCCTCTAGCTTGCTCCTTTAAGGCTGGCACTTTACCATTTGAGTCACCACACCTCCACTTCCAGCAAGCTTTTTGGGTGTCTCATGAACTTTCTTGCCTAGCTTTGAACTTTGATGATCGGCTCTCAGCCTCCTGAGTAGCTAGGATTACCGACGTGAGCCACCTGAGTGAGCCCAGCTCTATGGAGGGCTTTTATGTATTCGGGAGCCAATAGGACTGATTAACTTGGAAAGATTCCAGTCTGTAGTTGGGGGGCTGAAGAAGGCAGGGGCAAGAGCTATGGGTAGGGGCTGGGAATGTGGCTTAGTAGTAGAGTGCTTGCCTAACCTGCATGAAGCCCTGGATTTGATTCCTCAGTATCACATATATAGAAAAAGCCAGAAGTGGTGCTGTGGTTCAAGTGGTAAAGTGCAAGCGTTGAGCAAAAGAAGCCCAGGGACAGTGCCCAGGCCCTGAGTTCAAGCTCCAGAATTGGCAAAAAAAAAAAAAAAGAGCTATGAGTACAGGAGAAGATGGCAGGGCCAGGTAGGGCTGGGGTTGGAGGACGAAGACAGAGCCCAAGAGCCCAGAACTGACCAGAGAGGGTAGGGATGGCCTGGGGGCTCCAGAGCCCCCAAGAATGGGAAGGAAAAAAGGATGAGTTGGCACAGTTCAATCTAAGTGAGCACTACCTACCAGGATCTGGGGGTCCTCACTGTACACCCCCGCCCTCTAGAGAACAGGAAGGATCCTATTCTGCTTTATATCTCCAGGATGCCAGAGAGTCAGAGTGGTCATAAGCCACTTAAGGAGATCTTAGACATTGCCAAATCCCACTGAAAGTTTATGGATTGGGGGGGGGGGGCGCATGGACAGCTCCCAAAGCTCTCTCTTAGTCTTTGCTGAGGATTCATGGAGGAGCAGGGCTTGGGCTTACAAGATTGTGCATGGACACACCAGGATCCCAGAGATGAGCGAGAGCAGGGCTGGATCTGGGGTCGGTTTTGGTTTAGGTTTCAAGGGGAATTGTGAAATGCTTGTAATTGTTAGATTTCCTTGCTCTGAGGGAGAAACCACTGACGCTTGGCCTCTTCCCAAAGCCCCCACCACAGGGCTCTGGCTTCCTTCTTTCCAGGAAAACATGGGACTTGAGGCACTCTGGCAGCCATTCTGCCACCATATAATACATCTGGGGACCTGAGACACAGAGACACAGAACAAAACAGGGACTTGCTCAAGGGGGGGCCAGAAGGACAAACAGCCTCAGTCTCCCATTCCTGGCTGCTCTCCCTTTTTGTCCCCTGTCCCTCCCATACTCACTCTGCGATCTGCACCAGTCCAGCCACCCAGATGCCAGGGAGGAGGCTGAACCAGCCTGTCCTTCTGACTCCCTGGGAGAGAGCCACCTGTGGCTGGCAGGGGGACATTTAAAGTGTTCCAGCTGCTTGGCTGAGCCTGAGAAATCCCTCGCAGAACAGAGAGTCCCCAGATCTGCCTGACAGGTGGCTGCCTTCCCTGAGTTCCCTGGGACAAGCCTGCGGGCTTTGTGTGGGCTGATTTGGAATCCAAGCCTGGCTCTCTCTCCCTCCACTGGCCCTTACTTTCCTTCTTTGAAAACTGGAGAATATGTCAGGTGCCGGTGGCTCACGCCTGTAATCATAGCTATTCAGGAGGCTGAGATCCGAGGATCTCAATTCAAAGTCAGCCTGTGTAGGAAAGTCTGTGAGACTTATCTTTGATTAGCCACCAAAAGGCTGAAGGTAGAGCTGTGACTCAAGTGGGAGAACTCTAGCCTTGAGTGGAAAAAGCTAAGAGACAGCACCCAGGCCCTGGATTTAAGCCTAATAGTAGGAAAGAGAGAAGAAAGTAAGGGAGGGAGGGAAGGAGGGAAGGAGGGAGGGAGGAAGGGAGGGAAGAAGGAAGGAGAGAGAAAACTAAAGTGAGATCCCAGTGCTTGATCATAGTGTAGGCTCAGGAAAGGCTGATTCCCTTCCTTCTCTGAAGTTCTTCTCAAACCTTCCAGGGCTCAGCCTGTTGCTGCTTTCCCTGCTTCTGGTACAAGCTGGCGTCTGGGGGTTCCCGAGGCCGCCCCAGAGCCTGAAGGAGCTGCATAGAGAGTTCACCATCAGCCTACATCTCGCCAGAAAGCTGCTCTCAGAAGTTCGGGGTCAGGCCCACCACTTTGTGAGTCTAACACTGCTGGCTTTGGGGATCGGGGAACCTCCTCAAGTCCTACTGGTCCCCCACTAACAGACCTTATTACTCAGGCTGAATCTCGCCTGCCAGGAGTGAGCCTGGATCTACTGCCTCTGGGGGAACAGCTCCCCAATGTCTCCCTGACCTTCCAGGCCTGGCGCCATCTCTCTGTGAGTTGAGGGGTTGGGGGGTGGACTGGGGAGGTGTTGTAGTAAGGCTGGGGCTGACAAGATGACTTGAATTGGGTGGGAGATGAATTGAGGGAGAGAATCTGGAGGAGACTGAATGTGTCATTGGGTATAAAAGGTCGAATGCATCAATGGAGGTCAGGAAAGACATGAGGGTGACACCGGGCATGGAAGAAGTAGGGTGGGAATGGAAGGGGTTTGGGAAGAGTGGTTAATGTGGAAAAGATGGGCTGGTGATTGTGATGGAAATGAGAACAACCAGAGATGAGGGGATATGTTGAAAGTCAAATTGGGGGCCACTGCTGGTGGCTCACGCCTGTAATCCTAGCTACTCAGGAGGCTGAGATCTGAGGATCAGGGTTCAAAGCCAGCCAGGACAGGAAAAGTCCATGAGATTTAGTGTTTGTTTTTGGTTTTTGTTTGTTTCTGGTCCTGGGGCTTGAACTCTGGGCCTGGATACTGTCCCTGAGCTTCTTTTATTCAAGGTGTGTGCTCTACCACTTGAGCCACAGTGCCACTTGCAGCTTTTTTGAGTAGTTAGTTAGAATTAAGAGTCTCATAGACTTTTCTGCCCAGACTGGCTTGGAACCACAATCCTCAGATCTGAGCCTCCTGAGGAGCTAGGATTGTAGGCAAGAGCCACCAGTGCCCAGTACCATGAATGAGATTCCTATCTCCAATTAACCAGTAAAAAGTCACCAGTGGAGTTGTGGCTTAATTGGTAGAGTGCTAACTTTGAGTAAAAAGCAAGGGTAGAAGGCCCTGAGTCCAAGCCCCAGTATGTGCATCGAAATTTAAAAGAAAAAGGAGGGAAAAAAAAATGGAGAATGGAATGGAGGCTGGAGGTTGAATTGGAAATAAGATCCAGATAGAGATGGGGTAAGGCTTGATGAGGTCATCCATCCTTGACCTAGCCTGGCCTGTGGCCTACTTTGCTGACTCTTCTCTTTTCTTCTTCATAGGACCCAGAGCGCCTCTGCTTCCTCTCCATGAGCCTGCAGCCCTTCCATGAACTGCTGAGAAGTTTGGGGGGCCAGGAGGGCTGGACCAGCTCGGAGAGGAGGCAGCTGTGGGCCACAAGGCTGGATCTCCGGGATCTCCAGAGGCATCTCCATTTCCAGGTAGAGTGGAATTGACTCCAAGATTCACACACAAGGCTCAGTGGTGGCTCAGTGCTTTCCTAGCATGCACGAAGCCCCAGGTTTGATGCCTCAGTACCACATAAACAGAAAAAGATGGAAATGGCACTGTAGCTCAAGTAGTAGAGCACTAGCCTTGAGCAAAAAAATAGCTTAGGGACAGTGCCTAGGCCCTGAGTTGAAGCCCCAGGACTGGAAAAAAAAAATCACATACAAGCCGGCACCGGTGGCTCATGCCTGTAATCCTAGCTACTCAGGAGGCTGAGATCTAAGAATCGAAGTTCAAAGCCAGCCCGGGCAGGAAAGTCTGTGAAACTCTTATCCCCAATAAACCACCAGAAAACCAGAAGTGGCGCTGTAGCTCAAGTGGTAGAGCACTAGCCTTGAGCTGAAGAGCTAAGGGACAGCGTTCAGGCCCTGAGTTCAAACCCCATGACTGACCAAAAAAAAAAAAAAAAAAAAACACACACAAAATTATTCGTCTGCTTTAAAAAATATATACTAGGCATGTGGTACACACCTGTAATCCCAATGACTCAGGAGGCATAGGTAGAATAAGTCTGAGGCCAACCCTGGGCAAAAGTGGAAGACCCTATGTGAAAAATAACTAAAGAAAAAGAAAAAGAGTTGAGTACAGTAACTCATATAGGTGCAAACCTAACTACTCAGGAGGCTTAGATCTGAGGATCACGTTTCAAGGCAAACTCAGGCAAAAACTTCTCACGTCTCATTTCAACATATCAAACACTGCCTATGGAGTGTCACCTCAGCTATGTGGGAAGTGCAAATAGGAGGTTCACTAACATGGGCATAAATGGAGACCCTATTTGAAAAATATCCGGGAGCTGGTGGCTCACACCTGTAATCCTAGCTACTCAGGAGGCTGAGATCTGAGGATCGCAGTTGAAAGCCAGGCCCTGGCAGGAAAGGTTGTGAGACTTTTAGTTCCAATTAACTACAGAAAAACCCACAAGTAGTACTGTAGCTCAAGTAGTAGAGTGCTAGTCTTGAGCAAAAGGAGCTTAGGGCCAGTGCCCAGGTCCAGGATTCAAGGCCCAGGACTGCCCCCACCTCAAAAAAAAAATGTGGTAGAGTGCCTGTTTTTTTGTTTTGTTTTTTGTTTTTGTCTGTCATGGGGCTTGAACTCTGGGCTTGGGCGCTGTCCCTTAGCTCTTCAGCTCAAGGCAAGTGCTCTGCCGCTTGAGCCACAGCGCCACTTCCAGTTTTCTAGTGGTTTATTAGAGATGAGAGTCTCCCAGACTTTCCGGCCCGGGCTGGCTTTGAACCGTGATCCTCAGATCTCAGCCTCCTGAGTAGCTAGGATGACAGGCGTGAGCCACCGGCGCCAGGCTAGAGTGCCTGTTGAGCAAGCCTAAAGGCAAGTTCAAAATTCCAGGACTAGCCCTCCCCCTAAAAAAAATATATCTCCTATGCCCTCAGGTTGAGGACATCTGGGGAAGAGACTTCAGACCCCCTGAAAGTGTGGATTACACACTTAGGCTTTGCTCCCTGAGTTTCTGCCTGCTCTTAGGGGCTGGTCTCCAATGACGTCAGCGTCCACTGTCAACAGCAGGCCGACAGCCCAGCCCTCTGATTCGCTGACTTCTCCTGAGTGTTGCAACAGGCAATAGAAATTTTACCTTTCATGAAAGTAAAATCTGGAGACAATCCTTAATGGCAGAGGAACTCCTTGTACCCTATCTCCCTGTATTCCAGCCTTGAGAACAGTCCTGGGAAAGAAACTAAACTCTGCAACCATCACAGAGCTCTATAACTTCCCTTTCATCTTTTCTTTTCCTCCTCTCTCCAGTGTGCACTTGTGTGTGTGTGTGTGTGTGTGTGTGCGTGTGCGTGCACCTGTGTGTGCACGCAGCTACTAAGGCTTAAACTCAGGGCCTTGTGCTCTCACATGGCTTTTACTCTGCTCAAGGATGGTGCTCTGCCACTTGACCCACAACTCTGCTTTTGGCTTTTTTGATGGTTAATTGGAGATGAGAGTCTCATGGATTTGTCTGCTTGGGCTGGCTTTGAATCATGACCCTTAGATCTCAGCCTCCTGAGTAAGTAGCTGAGATTTGAGACACTGGCTCTCAGCACCTTCCATTTTCTTTTTCTGTTGTTGTTGTTGGTCATGGGGCTTGAACTCTGGGCCTGGGTGCTGTCCCTGAGCTCTTCAGATCAAGGCTAGCACTCTATCACTTGAGCCCCAGTGCCACTCCCATTTTCTGAGTGGTTTATTGGAGATAAGAGTCTCTCGGTCTTTCCTGCCCAGGCTGGCTTTGAACTGCAATCCTCAGATCTCTGCCTCCTTAGCTAGGATTACAGGCGTGAGCCACCGGTGCCTGGCTTACCTTCCATTTTCTTAGGGGGAAAAAAGACCAGAGTGCAGACAGTTCATGTTTCTAATCTTAGCTACTCAAGTGTCTGAGATTGGAGGATTTTGGTTTCATGCCAGCCTGGCTTAGGAAAGTCTTAAGACTCTTGATCTCCAGTTAACCACCCAAAATCTGAAAATAGAGTTGTGGTTCAAATGGTAGAGTGCTAGCCTCGTGCAAAAAAATTTCAGGAACAGGCCAGGAGTTCACATCCCAGGACTGGCATACACACACACACACACACAATATACACACACAAATGAATATAACATGGGAAGACACTCTGAAAAATTTGAAGCCACGCTGGCTGAGGAAAACATGGCTTTGGAATTACTGATGTCATGAGGAGTTGCTGAGCACTGAGGTTTATTTGTTTTGGTCGTGGGCATAAACTCAGGGCCTGGACGCTGTCCCTGAGCTCTTTTGCTCATGGGTAGCACTTTACCACTTTCAGCTACAGCGCCACTTTCGGTTTTCTGATGGTTTATTGGAGATGATTCTCACAGACTTACTTACCTTCCCAGGCTGGCTTTCAACTGCCATCCTCAGACCTCAGCCTCCTGAGTAGCTAGGATTATAGGTGTGAGTCACCAGTGCCCGGCACTGGGATTTATTCAGGTTCTCCCTGGGGCCTGTGTGTAAGCTGAGGCTCTTTCCTTACAGGTGCTGGCTGCAGGATTCAGTCTCCCCCAGGAGGAAATGGAGGAAGAAGAGGAAGAAGAGGAGAAGGGGCTGTCCCTAGGGGCTCTGGGCAGCCCCATCCAGGTGTCACCCCAAGTGTCCTGGCCCCGGCTACTCTATACCTACCAGCTACTACGCTCCTTGGAACTTGTCCTGTCCAGAGCTGTTAGGGACTTGCTGCTGCTCTCCAAGGTGGGGTACCCGGGCCTGGCTTGGAGCTCCCAAAACCCGGATGGAGTGATCTTTTAACTCCTTCCTTTCCCCTTTAGGACTGGAGTTTGGGAACAGGACAGCTTCCAACATAGTCGCCTCAGACCAAGCTGAGCTCGACCACCCTCTCAGTCCCCACCCAGTAACTTAAAGCCCCCTTCAGTTCTTGCCACGTATTTATTTCTTGGATATTTATTTATTGTTTGGGAAGACAATCATTTATTTATTGCTTCATCCTCAGGCGGGGCTGCCATACTGGGTACTTGAATTAAAAGTGAACAAACCTTGCCCTCTCTGTTTCCTTACGCAGGAGGGCACCTGACACCCATGGGACCCGATGGCCCAGGATGGAGTTGGCAATTTCAGGCTCTACCCTGATCCCTTCTTGGCTCATACATTTATTGGGATTCTTGACCCACAACCCCTGCCCCATTCCAAACCCAGCCTGCTCAGCTGGCAGTTGCCAGAGTAACCAGGAGAGTTCTGGGGCTGCACTGCCATTTTGGAGAAACTCAAGGCAGATATTCTGCTACCCTAACTCATGCTCTTTTGATTCCAAGTGGTGGCCCCAGGCCCTTTGAACCTCCACCTCTAGGCTGGCTTCTATGCCAGTAGTATTATCTACACAGCTCTGTGAAGCTGGGCGTAGTAGGGTATGAGGGCCAGAAAGGGAAAACTGTAGAACACTAGTGTCCAACCCCCAGTCTTCCTGCTGGAAGAAACAGGTTGGAGAGGTGTTCGTCACAACAAGTGGACCTGTCACTGGGTCCAGGTGAGGGTTTGTGAAGTTTGTGAAGTTTCCCTCTGAAAAAAAAGGACTCTCCACTTAGGGTCCTTCAGTCCCAGTGGGAGTAATTGGGTGTGTGGGACAATGCACCAGCATTGAAAAATCAGGTTCCTTGGTAGAGCGCTCGCCTTGAGCTGAAGAGCTGAGGGACAGCGCCCAGGCCCAGAGTTCAGGCCCCACGACGGCCAAAAAAAGAAAAAGAAAAATCAGGTTTCTTATAGTCAAGGTCTTCCATAGATGTTTGGGTTTTGTTGGTTCCGTGAATGACACATTAAGAGACTGAGGCAGAGGAAGTCAGGGGTGAGCACAGCCCAGTAGAACCTTCGGAGTCTCTCTGGGGGTCTGGCTCACTGGGGTTTCGGCCTAGCCAGTCGGGCTTGTAGTTCCTGCATCATGCCAGGATGAGCCATGCCAAATCTAGAGGTGGGAGAGAGGCCGGTGACACTTGGTCCTTTGGGTCTTCCCTATCCCCCAGGGCAGTGTCCCAATGCTCACCCATGTCCTGTGGGCCTTCTCCTGGCTGGCACTGGGGTCCCTTCAGGTTTGGGGGGGCTTGGCTCCGGGGCTTCCTCTAGCTGAAGAGGTCTGTGTTCAGGAGCTGATGGTTCCTGCTGGGGCTGGGCACAGGGAGTGTCCTCTTGCTGCTCAGGGACAAGGGACCGACGGAAAGAGGGCCTCGAGCGCTTCTGGGATGAGCTTCTTGAGAGGAGCACACGGCTCCGTGGGACGGAGACATCCAAGCGGGTCCCAGGGAGCAGAGCCTGTAGAATGGGGGTAGGGTGGAGAGTGGGACACAAGTGGGTTATTGGGTTGGCTTTTATTTCTTCTTGGTGCACCCTGGATCAAAGCTTGAGCCCTCACCTCACTCCAGCTGTTGCCAGGATCGTCTCTGGTACTTTCCACGGCTTCTGTGGTCTCCGAGGGTGCAGACACGGCCTCTGCAGAGATCTGGGGTGGTGGCAGCTGCCCCTGGGGCTCCTGGGCCTCCAGGGTCTGGTCTCCAGTCAAGTGATCCTCCAGGGCTTCTGGCTCCGCCCCCTGGGCCTCCAGGGTCTGGTCTCCAGTCACGTGATCCTCCACCCCTAGCAGCTTTTCTGCCTCTCCCTCAGGGTGGTGGTCCCCACGCTGCCCCTCGCTGCCTTCTCTTGGCTCCTTCACTTGCCCTTCTTTAGTGTCTTCCAGAAGCCCCTCACCCTGTGCCATGGCTTCAGCTCCCGCTGCTCTGGCTGCCTGGGAACCTGACCTAGTGTCATCCATCTCACCAATCCCTCCTTCCATGGCGGATCGTCCCTCCTCGGCCTGTTCTTTCTCCTCGGCCTCACTAGCCTCTGCTTGGCTACTTGGGCCAGTTGGCTCTTCTGCTGAGCCCACTGCGCCAACCTCCTGCCCACCTTGGTTCTCTCCCTCTATGACTTTCTCCTGCCCTTCAGACTCCCAGCCTCTCTCAGATGCCTCCTCCCAAGAAACACCAGCCTCCTCTTCTGGTCCTTCCCCAGCCTCATCCCCCACAATCTCAGCATCCCAAGAACTGGTCCCTGGGTCCTGGCTGCCTTGAAGACTCAAAACTGCTTCCTCTAGCCTGCAGCCTCCACTGTCTGCCTCCCCTGGCATTGTGACCTCCACTTCACCAGCCTTGCCCTTTCTAGCCTCTGACTCTGCCAGTGACTGGCCTGTCTCTGCCTCCGCCCTTTGGCTTTCTGCTACTGCCTGGTTCTCTGTGTCAGAGGCCTGGCCCTCTTCTGTTCCATGTGTCTGGATCTCAGCCTCTGCCTCCAGTGCTTGGCTTGCAGCCTCCTCCTCCCCACCTTCAGCATCTTTATTCTCCTGGACATTTCTGCTCTCTGTGCCTTTCCTCCTCCCATTTTCCCAGGTTTCTGCTTCAGGAAGCTCAGGATCTTCAGGTTCCAGGTGCTGGGGGTGTGCCTCCAGCCCCCTTTCTCCCCACTCTTCACTGTGGATTGGGTCTCTCTCAAGCTCATCTTCACCATTCTGCGCTTCCTCAGCTTGCCCAGCTGGAATCTGGGTGCCTCCCCATGGCTCAGGCTCCTGGTATTCAGTGACCTTCACCTCTAGAGCTTTTTGGCTGATGTGAGCCTTCTCATTCCTCTCATCTATGAGCTCCTCCTCAGGCCTGGCCTCTGGGATTTCTTCTACATCTGTTTGATCTTCAACTTCATCGTCCAGGGCCAGTCTAGCAGCTGGGGCCTGATAATGCCCCTCCACCCTCTGGGTCTCCTCTGCCTGTACCACCTCTCCCTGCCTGGCCTTGTCAACGCTGACTGTTAAATCCAGGCTCCTCACAGTCTCTTTACCACACAGGTCACCCTCCCCTTCAGAACCATCCCCTGCCTTCTCCTGTTTCTGGCCTTCAGTCTTTCTTTCTGTTGTTGTCTGTCCATCTGCTGCTTCCTCAGTTCCCTCAGGCCCGAAGACCTGGGTCTGTGTGAGGAAAAGAAGCCTTCTTTCCATATCTCCCCTCTCATCTACTTCCTCCTCCAGATCTCTCTGGGGGACCCAGACTCTTTCACTAGCTTCTGGAATGCTTTTTCCAAAGCGGAGTCCATAGTCTGTTTCTAAGAAGTCAGTGTCCTCCCTGCCTGAAGCCATCCCAGCCTCCTCTTTACCTGGGGCTATCCAGTCTTCAGATTCTGTCCCTGGGCCCTGTGTACTCTCTAATACCCTTGAGCTCTCTCCACCCCACACCACCTCCATCCCCACTTCTTCCCTCGCAGTCTCTTTCTCTCCAAGCCCTTTAGTTTCGGTAGCTGCTTCCTCGTCTCCCTGCTCGGTCTCCCTGCCACTGCCTGCCACCTTCTCCATACTCAGCTCAGGCTTCCCAGGCTGTGACTCCACCCCTCTGGCCATCCCTTGCCCTGTCACCCAGCTATCTTCCTCCTCCTCCTCCTCCTGCTGCTGTTCCCAGGTTCTCAGTATCTCCCCTCTGCTCACTTCCTGCTCATTGGCTTCCTCGCTGTTCTCCAGGGCTCCACTGCTCCTGTCTTGTTGAGTCTTAGACCCTGCTTCAGCCTCCAAAGGGTCACTTGGCTCCTGGCCCTTGACTACCTCCCAGGTGCCAGTATCCTGCCCTTCTGCTTGGGACCCATGGGAGGTGCCTGCTCTCCATCCCCAGGTCTGTTCGGCTGAGCTTCCCTCCTGGCATGTTCCCGTCCTTCCAGACCCTTCCAGTCCTCCATTCCCCTCACCTGGGCTACCTCTAAGACGCTCTACAATCTCCCCTGCTTCCTCCTCTAGAGGTTCCTCTGGTTTTCCTGTCGCCACCTCCTCTAGTTCACGGGCAGCCTGTGCCTCCCTCTGTACCGTGGGGACCTCATCTCCTATGAGGTAGGCCACAAAGGTGCTGAGTGAATCCTAGAAGACAAATGAGAGGAGGGTGAAGGCATTCAGAGGTAGTCTCCAGGGGGTCCTGGGCCAGAAGAGTCCAGGGTAAGAAAGAGGGGTTCTGAGATCAAAAAGGAGACAGACAGAGAGGGACTGGGATGTACAGAAGAATAAGAAAGAGAAAGAATTGGGCTTGGAAGAGGTATGGACACACTGGTGGTGGTGAGGGATTGAAATCCAGAAAAGACTGGGTGAGAAGGCTGTCCAGTCCTAGGAAAGGGACCTGAAGCCTGAGGCCCAGCTCTAGGGAAGAGGGAAGGTAAGGCAGCAGGGAATGGGGTGAAATCTCTAGCATCTCCTTGCCCCTCTCACCAGTGCCCCCCTCAAGGCCTGATGCAGCCCAGGGAGGTGCTGCCGAAGGAAGTCCATCCTGTCGGTCTCTACGAGTCCAGAGAGCTGACACTGACTGTCCCCACCCACTCTAAACCCTTTCTGGCCAGGACCAAGACACTTCCTCTTCCCCTCTCTCTCCCTGACTCGTCTCCACTCCGGGGCCCTGAGCACCTCCCCTTTGCCCAAGGCAACCTCTACTCTAGGTATGCATGACTCTAGGGAATCTGGATCACAGCTGGATCTAAGGGCCGAGGACAAGGCCACAGAGCAAAAATTAGGCTCAGAAGACCTCAGAATTGAGGTGTGTATGTTGAGGGGGGAAAGGGGGAGTTGGGACAGGACATGTGGCAATTGCAGCCCAAAGTGACTCAGGTCTTCTATTCACACCTCAGCCATTTCCGTGTCTTTTAAGCCACAGCCACGTGGGGAGAGGAAGCTGGGGTTTCTAGTTCCTGTTTTGCCTGGGGACTGGTGAGAGCTCTGACTTCCTGCTTGGATGTCACCAATGCTTCCTTTAGAGAAAGAAAGGGCTGGATTGGTGGCTCCACTGCCCATCCCCTCACTTATGCTTAACCTGGCAAAAGAGAACCTAATGCAAGTGTATTGTGGTTATACTTCTCTCTGCCGCCTCCAGTAAGTGCCTTGAGGTCAGAGGCCATGTATGAAAGGCTGCAGAATTTCACCTTGATATCTAATCTAGGAATAACAGCACAAGAGGCATATTTTATTTATTTTTATTTTTAATTTTGCCACTTCTGGGGCTTGAACACAGGGCCTGGGCTTTGTCCCTGAGCTTCTTTTGCTCAAGGCTAGCACTCTACTACTTGAGCCACAGCGCCACCTCCAGCTTTTTCTGTTTATATGGGACTGAGGAATGGAACCCAGGGCTTCAGGCATGCTATGCACACATTCTACCACTAAGACACATTCCCAGACCCAAAGGACGTATTTTAAACAGCATTCTGCAGGTCTGGTGGTAGGAAAGATCTGGTGGAGGTGGGCACAGGCTTTTGGAAGCTGTAGCAATTTATCTGAAGGACTTGATGAAGAGAACTCAAGATGATGCTTTCTTACCTAGAAGAAAGGTAAGTGCATGGATCCTTATTGGAACTATGGAAGTAATAGGACCCTTCTCTCCAGACTAAATTGGAGTCTAAACTAAGAATTGTCTGGTCTAAACACCCTTGATTTGGGGGAGGGAGTGTTCCTACAGCAAATTGCTCAGTGACTTCTATTGCTCTACTTTTTTTTTTTTTGTCCTGGGGCTTGAACTCAGGGCCTGGAATCTGTCCTTGAGCTCTTTTGTGCTCAAGGCTAGTGCTCTGTCACTTGAGCCACAGCCACTGCTGGCCTTTTCTGAGTAGTTTATTGAAAACAAGAGTCTCAGACTTTTCTGCCCTGGATGGCTTTGAACTGCAATCCTCAGATCTCAGCCTCCTGAGTAGCTAGGATGACAGATGAGACCAGCATCTGGGCACTTTCTCTCTTTCTCTCCTTCCTTCCTTCTTTCTTTCTTTCTTGGGGGGGGGGGTAGGTTTCCTGGGCGTTTTTTGTTTTTTTGTTTGATCTTATTTGTCTCATCTGTTAAACCAAGAATTGGACTATTTTTGCAGCCCTTTTTGTTTTTAGGATAATTTGGAAGAGCGGTTTTAAGGCAAGCCTCAAACACTGAGTTATAACAGCCTGTGAGGCAACGGATAAGACTAAGAATGACCTAAGGCTTTAATTCTTATCAGCACCTGTTTGGGCTTGAGGAAAAAGGGTGGAGTGGATGGGTGGACTGGTAGGTGGGAAGGAAGAAAGGAAGAGAGGGAGGGAGAGAAGACGGAAGGAAGGAAGGAAGGGAGGGAAGGAGGGAGGGAGGGAGGGAGGGAGGGAGGGAGGGAGGGAGGGAGGGAGGGAAGGAAGGAAGGAAGGAAGGAAGGAAGGAAGGAAGGAAGGGAGGGCTGCCAGTCGGCAGCCATGTTTGTTTCTGGCAAGTAAGAGCGGCAGAACAGGACCTGAAGCCGCTCGCGCCATGACTAGTGCTGGCACGACCCTGGCTTCCTCCCTGCACGCAGGTAATCGTGGCTCGACTTGCTGCCCGCGTCTGTACCAGCTTAAAACCAGGGGTTCCGGGGCTGACGTCCCACCTGCTCACGCCCCGAAGCTAACAAGGCCAAACAGCGAAGGCAGGGGACCCGGAAGTACGGAAGACCTTCTGAGCACGTGATGGGGGAGCCACGGGTGACGTCACGTGATCGCCCCACCTCCCACTGGAAGGTGCGGAACGCTCGGCTGCTCTTAAAGGTACAGGCCCGCGGGAGGGGGGGGGGGCGGCGGAAGCTCTGTTTTCGAAGGGGCGGGGTGGGCACGAGAGAGAGTTCCAGACTTCGGCTGATGGATCGCGGGGCGCGAGTGCGGCCGACAGCCGGAGCCGAGCCGGGCCATGGGGCGTTGATCCTGGGTACCTGTCGCAGATCCCCGTCCGTCTCGTTGGAGCCGACCCTGGACCCTCGTTGACGTGGGACCCTTCGGGGCATCCGAACTGGATGTCATGGGAGGCTGTGCGGGCTCGCGGGGACACCTTTCGGATTCCGACAGTAGGTCCTCAGGCTGGTCCGGTTGGGAGGGATCACCTGTGCCCCGCGGCCCACCGCGGGTGGGACGGACACCCCCAGGGCCACCGTGGCCCTGAGGATGGGTGGGGGAAAAGCCCTCCGCTTCTCTTCCTTCCAGGCGAGGAGACCGCCTCGGAGCCTCAGGCCCCTCTGTTGGGTAGTCAGGGCGCCCATTGGAAGAATGCGGTGGGATTCTGGTGAGTGGCCCGAGAGTTCTACAGAAGTTAAAAAGTGCGACAGCTCCCATCGAGAAAAGAATTGATCTGAGAAAGGAATCCACAAATATTCATTGCACTGGCTTGCCTTTGGGCTGCCTGTGACTTTCCCAATTTTACTTACTTGCTTACCACCTTGCCCTGTTGGCGCTATGTTGTCCTTCAGCTAACAAAAGCCTCAAGTGTGTGTGTGTGTGTGTGTGTGTGTGTGTGTGTGTGTGTGTGTGTGTGTGTACTGGGGCTTAAACTCAGGGGCTTGAACTCACCCTTGTCTTTTATGTTCCATGCTGGAGCTCTACCACTTGTGCCCTACCTCATACTAACTGCTTTTTGGTGGTTAATTGTAGCTAAGTCTCATGGACTTTACTGAACAACTGGCTTCAAACCATGATCCTCAGATCTCAGCCTCCTGAGTAACTACGATTATAGGCGAGAGCCACTGGTGCCTGACTAACAACACTTTTTCCCCCTTTGGTAGCTGTATGTGGGCTTGAACTCAGGTTCATGCTCTAGCTTGGCTCTTTTGCTCAAGACTGGCACTCTACCACTTGAGCCACAGCTCCACTCCAGCATGTTAATATATCCCTATTTTATAAATAAGTAGACTTGAGGTCACTGAAGTAAAAAGCAATAGACTTGAAATCTGAACCCAGTCTTTTGTATTTCAAGCCCTGGAATGTTTTTATTGTAACCCATGCATCAATGGCTGTGAAATGGTCCAGGAACTGAGTTGTAGTGGGAGCTCAGAGGGCAGAGTAGTTCCAGACATTTCCCTGGGGAAAGGTCTTGGAGGTAGGCTATGAACCTAGGCCTGATCCCAAACCTCTCAAATTTCTTTTTTCTTTTTCTTTTTCTTTTTTTTTTTTTTGTTCAGCCATGGGGCCTGAACTCTGAGGCCTGGGCACCATCTCTCAGCTCTTCAGCTCGTGGCTAGCGCTCTACCACTTGAGCCACAGCACCGCTTCTGGCTTTTTCTGCTTATGTGGTGCTGAGGAATCAAACCCAGAGCCTCATGCATGCAAGGCAAGCACTCTTCCACTGAGCCACCTTTCCAGCCCACCTCTCAGATTTCTAAGCCCAACAGTGAAAGATTGACTTTGTCAGACATTGGTGGCTCATACCTGTAATCTTAGGTACTGAGATTGAGATCTGAGGATGGAGGTTTCAAAGCCAACCTATGCAGAAAAGTCCTTGAGACTCTTATCTCCAATTAACCAGCAAAAAGATAGAAGTAGTGGTATGGTTCAAGTGGCCAAATGCTAGCCTTGGGCAGAAAAGCTGGGTGAAAGTGAGAGGCATTGAGTTCAAGCCCTGGTACTGGCATAAAAAAAAAAAAGTGAGTGAGTGAGCTGATTGAAAGGATGCATGTGTAATCTCCAGAAGGAAACTGGATGGGGGTCTGACAGGAAATGATCAGTCCTGCTTCTTTTCAGGTTTCTGGGCCTTTGTAACAACTTCTCCTATGTGGTAATGCTCAGTGCTGCACATGACATCCTTAGCCACAAGAAGGAAGCTGGGAATCATACCCATGTAAGTGAGCCTCCCCAGCCCTGCCACCGTGGTTAGTCCCATGGCAAGCTGAGAGACTTTCCCTGGGACAGGGGGCCCTTGAAAATCTCATAAAGTAGCCAGTTGGTAAGGCAGGGAGACAGGAAGACTCCTGGTCTTCATCTCCTAGACGCCCCCCAGGGCAGGGAAGCAGCTGTGTCCAACTGTGATTCATAACAGAATGTCTTCATTTGGGTTGTATTGACAACATTTAGGACTGGGTGATTCTTTGCTGTAGAGCAACCTGTGCACTGTAGGATATTTACCAGTGTCCTCCTCTGCCCACAAGTTGCCAGTAGCACCTCAGGACACCAAGAGTGCCATGAAGAGCCTGGTGCCAGTGACTTATGCCTGTAATCCTAGCTACTCAGGAGGCTGAGATCTGAGGATTGAATTTCAAAGCCAGCCAGGGTAGAAAAGTCCGTGAGATTCTTATTTCCAATGAACTACCAAAAAGCTGGAAGTAGAGATATGGCTCAAGTGGTAGAGTACCAGCCTTGAGTGAAAAAGCTCAGGGACAGCACCTAGTCTCTGAGTTTAAGACCCAGTATTCACACACACACACACACACACACACACACACACACACACACACAAGTTAGCGCAGAGCGGGCCTTGGACTCTGTCTACCCTTCTGCAGTCCAGAGGGAAGACTCTCTTTTATTCTATCAGGTGGATCCAGGCCCAATACCCATCCCACACAATGGCTCATCTCGGTTCGATTGCAACTCTGTCTCCACAGCTGTGAGTACATATGTGCCCCCTCCCCCTCCTCAACCCAGATCCTTCCACCTCTCAGTACCTAGCTGGGACTATCAC